AAAAGGACTCAGAAAATCTGAAAAAAACATATGTTATGCAGAAAAATAAAATAAACAACATTTGCCTGAGCATCACATCCAAATTCCATACCAAAATTGAAATTAAAATACAATATGGAAAATAAATACTATTAAGAAAAATAAGAAAAAATAGAAAGAGAAATTCAAATTAGAGAATTAAAATTAGTGAGTGCGCAAGCCCGTTTTCGGCACCACCATCTTTGGCGATTTTTCATTTTCTTTTTGGAAAATCCAAATGGCCTGAAATTTTATACATGTGTACTTCAGATAATAGAAAACTCATGAAAAAAGTTTCAAAAAATAATAAAATTGTTTAGGCCCCGAAATAAAGTGAAGACAAAACGTAAAAAGTGAAAAAAAAACAAATTGTGAATGGGCGAGCACATTTTGATAGATGCTGCTCAAGCTACTGCTGAGATGTAGCGCGTGCTGCTATTCCATTAGGAATTAAGTCAGTTGAAGTGAGAATCAAAGGTTTAGGTTATGGAAAGCCTTCGGCCTTAAATGGTTCACAATTAGGTCTTATTATAACCAAGATTAGCGATGTAACTCCAACGCCACATAAYGGATGTCGTCCTCCTAAGAAACGCCGCGTATAATATCATATCATCGCTTCTGAGGATTGGCCTATCTTCGGAGATTTTTTATTGTTTTTTGGCTGAGCAAAATGATTTCAAAATTTATAGGCATGTCCCTAACATCATATAGAACGCACAAAAAAAAAATCAGAAGAAAAAGTTATTTTTAGGTGCCTAAATAATTTTTGGCGGGGGCCGAACGCCTTGGGGTTCGGACCTCGAACGGGACCCCGAACGCCCGAACGTACGGAGGTCCGCCTGGGGGCCTCCATACGTACGGGGGTCCGCCTGGGGGCCTCCGTACGTACGGGGGTCCGCCTGGGGGCCTCCGTACGTACGGGCTGGTAACCTTGTGTACATGCATTTTTTTCTTTTCTTTTCAATTTATATGTTTATAACACTTTATATATGGTCAGTATATATGCATTAAAAATGCATAAAAAATGCATATATATTGTATGGACATATTGTCACAGCCCCTCGTGTGTTGTCCTCTTCTCCCTCTCTGCCTACGGTTTACTGGGCAGCTCTTTTTGACGATATATACTGGTTGGAGGATGGAGGGGAGTGAAATATGGGGATTATTTGACTGGCTGGGGGGTTGGGAGTTCTTGTGACGAGCAGAAATGACAGGAGAGAAGATCTGCTGCTTGATGTTTGTAACAGTCTGGTAAGACTCTTTTGAAGCACCCACGAACTGTTGAGATATGAATCAGACCCGAGTTCTAATCCAGATACAATTAGATGACCAGAATAAAATCATTATTCTGAATTTAATTGACCTGGGGCCGGTCAGTTCAAGGATAATATCTCAAGGCCGTCGCCCTCTTTTTTTTTTTTTTTTTTTTTTTTTTTTAAAGAGCAGTAGTACCTCCGCCAGTGTTGGGCTGTTGCCAAACAGTTCGGAGGCTGGGCCCGACAACAGCTGCCATTGATAAATCTCATCGGCGGCTGTCGTTTCATTTCGGTCCTCCTAAAAGGTCGGAGGCCCACCCGAGGCCCGCTATTTTCCCACTCGGRAAATGTACTACCGTCTTCCCCCGAACACAACGCACCCTCATTTCGACTGTATCGGGCCGGAAACATGCCTTGCATACGTTCATTTTCAGGGTGCGTTATGTTCGGGGGAAGACGGTAGTGGTTTAAAGCAGTCTGGATTGCAACTCTACAAAGTCTACACAACATAGTTTTTTTCCCAAAGTTTTTGAAACATTTCCAGGCTACCAGAGTGGTCCGGGACCACTTGCCCGGCCTGGCAAAAAAGAATAAAAAAATTGTTTTTTTTTTATTCTAGGCTACCAGAGTGGCCCGGTAGTACTTGCTCGGCCAGGCCAAATAATAATAATAATAATAATAATAATAATAATAATAATAATGTAATGACCCGCCCAAAACACAGACTGAGAACACTGCTGATTTCTGGGATTTGCCAATGGAATGAATGCCTTGCTGTGATTCCCGCATTCTGCTGTGGTCCCAAGTCTGTGTGTGTGCGTGCCTGCTGGGTTGCATGCCTG